GTGGCCCTGCCCCCCCCCCCCAATTGTCGCCAGGGTGTCCCCCCGCCCTCAGGACGGGCTCCTCCTCCTCCCGCATTGCCGCCGTGCCCCTCCCGTTGTCCTCACCCCACATTGTCCCCCTCATCCCCCCGCGCAGCCCCCCTCAATCAGCCCCACCCCACCGCTCTGCCCTGCCTCCCTGCCCCCATCCTCACCCTTCCCTCCTCACCCCCTTCCTTCACTCCCAAAAAAACCCAAAAAAACCCCAAAATCTTTAAAATGTCCTCAAACTCCCACCCCGGGCCCCCCTTGCTGCCCTCAGTTAAGATGGCGGCGCCTCCGCCTCACATTTTCCAAGATGGCGCCCGCGCCGCCACGCGGACCCGCGCTGCCAGGCTGCCCTCATTCAAGATGGCGCCCGCCCCATGTTAGCCAATAGCGCTGAAGCCAACAGCGGTAACCCGGATGTAGCCGCCACATTGCCCTCACCCAACATGACGCCGCCCTCCCCGTGTTTCCCTATGGGCGTGAAGCCGCAGCGGGCGCGCGGGTGCCCGGATGTGGGCGCGGCTCCGCGGCGGGAAAGGGGGCGTGGCCTCGACCTGCCGGAAGTTGCGTCAGGGCGGAGCCGCCCGCGGGTTGCGGGGAGCGGAGCGGACGGAGCCAAGATGGCGGCGCCGGGGCTGGGCCGGCCCTGAGGGGCCGTGAGGGGCCGGGAGGGGCCCCCGCGCTCGGCGGGCTGGGACGGGCCGCAGGGGGGGCCCCGCCGCTCCCCCCGCCGCTCCTCGCGACGCTGCCGCCGCCGGAGCCTCCCCGGGGTCTGACCGGAGCCTCCCCGGGAGAGACGCGGGGCCTGCTCGGGGCCTTTTGCGGCCTTACCGGGGCCTCCCCGCGGCCTTTCGGGGCTCGGCGGGGCCGTTTGGGGCCTCCCCGGGGCTCGTCGGCGCCGTTTGCGGCCTTGCCCGGAGCTTTTTGGGTTCGAACCGGGCCCTTCCCGAGGCCTCCGGGGCTGAACCGGGGCTTTAAGGGCCTTTAACGGGGAGGGCCCCCCGGTGCCCCCCGGTTTTGGTTCTTTCTCGCTGGAATTTGGGGCCGATTTCAGCCGAAATCGCGGCGAAATCGGAGTTTTTTTTTGTTTTGTTTGTTTTGTTTGTTTAATTATTTTTTAAATTTTTGTTTATTTAACGGCGCTTTTCCCGGTTTTTTCCCGGGATTTCGGCTCTTCCCGAGGGTCAGAAAATCCCGGGATTTGAGGCGCAGCAGGAGCGGGATGAAATTCCAAGGATTTCTTCAGCCGAGCGAGGTTTTTTTGGGTTTTTTATCGCGGTTTTTGCTTTGAGCGAGCGAAATCCGCGATCCAGGGAATTCCTGCCTCGGGAATGCTCGCCCTGGAACCGGGAATGACTTAAGGGCAACGCCGCGCTTGGCTTTTCCTCGCTAAATTATTAATTAGGAAATTAAAAATAATTTAAAAAAGGGGTTTTTTTTTGGGGGGTGGGGGATAAAATCCGGAGTTTTCCGGCAAGGACTGACAGCGATCCTCTGGAACTTTGCGATTTTTTTTGGGGGGGGGAGATTTCTTGGAAAGGAAAATCAAGGAGAAGGAAAAAAAAGGGATCGAAGATCGCTGAGAACGCCCGGGAGCCGGGATCGGGCACGGCTGAGGTGGGTCTGGGGCTGGTCTGGGCTCGGGTTTGGGATTTATCCGGGGGAGGGACCCAGGCAAGGACTGACAGCGATCCTCTGGAACTTTGCGATTTTTTTTGGGGGGGGGAGATTTCTTGGAAAGGAAAATCAAGGAGAAGGAAAAAAAAAGGGATCGAAGATCGCTGAGAACGCCCGGGAGCCGGGATCGGGCACGGCTGAGGTGGGTCTGGGGCTGGTCTGGGCTCGGGTTTGGGATCGGATTTGGGATTTATCCGGGGAGGGATCCGGGGAAGGTCCTGGTGGAGCTGGAGAGGGTCGGGATGGATCTAAAGGGGTTTGGGATGGATCCGAAGGGGTTTGGGATGGATCCAGAGAGGGTCAGGATGGATCCAGAGAGGTTTAGGATGGATCTGAGGGGTTTGGGATGGATCCAGAGAGGTTCAGAGTAGATCCTGATGGATCTAAAGGGGTTTGGGATGGATCCACAGGGTCGGGATGGATCCAAGGATGGTTGCAGGGATGGATCCAGAGGGTCCTGATGGAGCTGGAGAGGTTTAGGATGGATCTAAAGGGGTTTAGGATGGATCCAGAGAGGTTCAGGGTAGATCCTGATGGATCTAAAGGGGTTTGGGATGGATCTGAAGGGGTTTGGGATGGATCCAGAGGGTCCTGATGGATCCAGGGATGGATCCAGAGGCTCTTGATGGAGCTGGAGAGGTTCAAGATGGATCTAGAGAGGTTCAGGGTGGATCCAGAGGGTCCTGATGGATCTATAGGGGTTTGGGATGGATCCAGGGAAGTCTGGGATGGATCCAGAGGGTCCTGATGGATCCAGGGATGGATCCAGAGGCTCCTGATGGAGCTGGAGAGGCTCGAGATGGATTCAGAGAGAGATCAAGAGGGTCCTGATGGATCTGGAGAGCTTCAGGATGGATCCAGAGGCCTCAGGGTGGATCTAAGGAAGGTCAGGATGGATCCAGAGGGTCCTGATGGATCTGGAGAGTTTCAGGATGGATCCAGAAGATCCTGGTGGAACTGGAGAGGTCTGGGATGGATCCAGAAGATCCTGATGGATCTGGAGAGGTTCAGGATGGATCCAGAGGCCTCAGGTTGGATCTAAGGAAGTTTGGGATGGATCCAGAAGCTCCTGATGGATCTGGAGAGTTTCTGGATGGATCCAGAGAGGGATCCAGAAGATCCTGATGGATCTGGAGAGGTCTGGGATGGATCCAGAAGATCCTGATGGATCCAGGGAATTTGGGGGAGGATCTGGAGAGGCTCAGGAATTAAATTCCCACGTTCCCAGCTGGTTCCAGCGCTGGGAATTCCCAAATTCCCGAATGGCAGCCCCTGGAAGAGCCGGTTTTCCGTGGGATATTCTGTCAGGAGCTTCCTCCTCCTCCTCCTCCTCCTCCTCCTTCCCAGCCCCTGGAGCTCCTCTTCTTCCCAAAAATCCAATTTATCGGGGCCGGGAATGGATTTTTGGGAATCCCCGCTGGATTTAGAAGGGGGAGTTCATCAGAAAAAAGAGGAAAATTGGGGATCAATCCAAATTTTTGTGGGTTTTTCCCCAGTTTTTGGGAATTGTTCCTATCCCCGGGAACTGAGGGGGGAAAAGTTCACCTGGAGTCTCCCTCGTGTCCATTTCCCCCGGAAAATTCACCTAAAAATCGGGATTTGGGCCTTTGCTCCCCACCCAGGCTGGGATTTTTTGGGATAATGTGGAATTCTGACGGTTCTGGCCTGGATTTAGTGGGAAAAATCCCAAAATATCCACAGGGATCCCACGGGGCTGAGCCCTGGGAAGCTCCAGGAACTCGTTTTTCCCGTTTATCCCGAAATTATTTGAATGCTCCCGGAATTCTCTTCCTGGGAAAAGCCTCCAGAGTGGGGTGGGAGGGATTTTCCAAGAGATTTCGGGATCCTTGTGTTTTTCTGGGGGATTTTCCTGCTCCTTTCTGAGGAATTTTTGGGATTTCTGCCTCCAACCCCTGTGGATTTTGGGATTTCAGGATTTTGGGAACCACGGGAATCTTGGAATCTCTTCAAAATTCCCTGCTTGGAAGTGGATTTAACAATTTTTGGGGATTTTTTTTTGAAGTTTAATCCCCAACATTCCCCTTTTCCAGGGGCCAACACTTTCCTAAAACCTCATTTTTCCCAGATTTCTTTGGGAAAGAAAGAATTTCCCAGATTTCTTTGGATTTTCAGGGAGAACAACAACAAATTCCAGCTTTTTTTTCTGGCTTCCACATTAGGAAAACCATCCAGGATCATTCCAGGGGGGGTCGGTGCTGACAAATCCAAGAACTTTTCCCGATTTTTTTACAATTCACCACCCAAATTCAGGGAAAAAAGAGACATTTTAAGGAAAATTCCCTAAAAAAAAAGCGGGATCGCGGCACCAGGTGCTTCCCATTCCTGTTTCCCCCCTGGAGCTGGGGCCAGGTTGTTTTTTTTCCAGGGATTTTCTGGGAATTTCCTCCTTGGAGAGGAGCCTGGCGCGGCCGTGCTGGGAATTGGGGGTGGGTGGGGGGTTCCTGTCCCCATCCCGATGTTTTCCCTTTGTTTGGGAGATTGTATCCAGGGAAAGGCCGGAGCGGGGGCAGGGCTGGGTCCTGAGGAGAATCCTGGGATTGGGGTCGGGATTCGGGTGGAAAAACACAGAGATTGGGGTTGGGATCCCACAGGAAAACCCCTGGGATTGGGGTCGGGGTCCTGATGGAAAATCCTGGGATCCCACAGGAAAACCCCTGGGATTGGGGTCGGGGTCCTGAGTGGATTCAAATGGAAAACCCCTGGGATTGGGGTGGGGGTCCTGATGGAAAAACACAGAGGTTGGGGTTGGGATCCCACAGGAAAACCCCTGGGATTGGGGTCAGGGTTCTGATGGAAAATCCCTGGGATTGGGGTTGGGATCCTGAGTGGATTCAAATGGAAAACCCCTGGGATTGGGATGGGGGTCCTGATGGAAAATCCTGGGATTGGAGTCGGGATTCTGATGGGAAATCCCTGGGATTGAGGTCAGGATCCTGAGTGGATTCCAATGGAAAATCCCTGGGATTTGGTTCGGGATTCTGATGGAAAATCGCCGGGATTGGGGTCAGGATCCTGAGTGGATTCCACTGGAAAATCCCCAGGACTGGGGTTAGGATCCCACTGGAAAATCCTGGGGAGTGGGGTTGGGATCCTGGTGGAAACCCCAGGATTGGGGTTGGGATCCTGAGTGGATTCCAATGGAAAATCCCCGGGATTGGGGTTGGGATTCTGATGGAAACCCCAGGGATTGGGGTTGGGATCCCACAGGATGGCAGTGCCAGCGGTCCAGGGTCAGTTTTGGATCCCCTCTGTACTGACCCCGTGTCCCACTGACCCCGTGTCCCATTGTCCCCATGTCTGACCCTGTGTCCCCGTGTCCCCAGGTGCCCATGACGGGCCGGAAGTGCGGTGCTGGCAGTGGCAGTAGTGCCATGTCCCACTGACCCCGTGTCCCATTGTCCCCGTGTCCCCAGGTGCCCATGGCGGGCCGGAATCATGGTAGTGACAGTGCCAGTAGTGCCATGTCCCGCTGACCCCGTGTCATTGTCCCCAGGTGCCCATGGCGGGCCGGAAGCGCGGCGCTGGCAGTGGTGCCATGTCCCACTGACCCCGTGTCCCATTGTCCCCATGTCTGACCCTGTGTCCCCGTGTCCCCAGGTGCCCATGGCGGGCCGGAAGCGCGGCGCTGGCAGTGGTGCCATGTCCCACTGACCCCGTGTCCCATTGTCCCCATGTCTGACCCTGTGTCCCCGTGTCCCCAGGTGCCCATGACGGGCCGGAAGTGCGGTGCTGGCAGTGGCAGTAGTGCCATGTCCCACTGACCCCGTGTCCCATTGTCCCCGTGTCCCCAGGTGCCCATGGCGGGCCGGAAGCGCGGCGCTGGCAGTGGTGCCATGTCCCACTGACCCCGTGTCCCATTGTCTGACCCCGTGTCCCATTGTCCCCATGTCCCCAGGTGCCCATGACGGGCCGGAAGCGTGGCGCTGGCGGTGCCAGTAGTGCCATGTCCCACTGACCTCGTGTCCCATTGTCCCCAGGTGCCCATGGCGGGCCGGAAGCGCGGCGCTGGCGGTGCCAGTAGTGCCATGTCCCGCTGACCCCATGTCCCATTGTCCCCAGGTGCCCATGTGCCCATGGTGGGCCGGAAGCATGGCAGTGCCAGTAGTGCCATGTCCCACTGACCTCCTGTCCCATTGTCCCCAGGTGCCCACGGCGGGCTGGAAGCGTGGCGCTGGCAGTGGCAGTAGTGCCAAGTCCCACTGACCTCGTGTCCCATTGTCCCCATGTCCCATTGTCCCCGTGTCCCCAGGTGCCCATGGCGGGCCGGAAGCGTGGTGCCAGCGGTGGCAGTAGTGCCATGTCCCGCTGACCCCGTGTCCCATTGTCTGACCCCGTGTCCCACTGACCCCGTGTCCTTGTCCCCAGGTGCCCATGGCGGGCTGGAAGCGTGGCGCTGACAGTGCCAGTAGTGCCATGTCCCACTGACCTCCTGTCCCCATGTCCCCAGGTGCCCATGGCGGGCCGGAAGCGCGGCGCCGGCGGTGGCAGTGCCGGCGGTGGCACGGGGTCGGTGCCGTGGCCCGAGGAGCCGGGCGAGCGCGAGCAGGGGCTGTACTCGCTGCACCGCATGTTCGACATCGTGGGCGCGCAGCTGACGCACCGCGACGTGCGCGTGCTCTCCTTCCTCTTCGTGGACGTGCTGGACGAGGCCGAGCGCGGCCGCATCCGCTCCGGCCGCGACTTCCTGCTGGCCCTGGAGCGCCAGGGCCGCTGCGACGAGAGCAACCTGCGGCAGCTGCTGCAGCTGCTGCGCATCATCACCCGCCACGACCTGCTGCCCTACGTCAGCCTCAAGAGACGGCGCCCCGGTGAGTGTCTGTCGCGATATATCGTGATATACGGGGTTACTGTCACAGTGTATGGGGCTATTGGGGTGACATCGTCACCCACCCCAATCTCCTGCCCTACGTCAGCCTCAAGAGACGGCGTCCCGGTGAGTGTCTGTCGCAATATGTCGTGATATACGGGGTTACTGTCACAGTGTATGGAGATATTGGGGTGACATCATCACCCGCCACGATCTGCTGCTCTATGTCAGCCTCAAGAAACGGCGCCCCGGTGAGTGTCTGTCGCGATATATGACATTGCCCCCCGCCACGACCTGCTGCCCTACGTCAGCCTCAAGAGACGGCGTCCCGATGAGTGTCTGTCGCAATATGTCGTGATATACGGGGTTACTGTCACAGTGTATGGAGATATTGGGGTGACATCATCACCCGCCACGATCTGCTGCTCTATGTCAGCCTCAAGAAACGGCGCCCCGGTGAGTGTCTGTCGCGATATATCGTGATATACGGGGTTACTGTCACAGTGTATGGGGCTATTGGGGTGACATCGTCACCCACCACAACCTCCTGCCCTGCATCAGCCTCAAGAGATGGTGCCCCGGTGAGTGTCTGTCGCGATATGTCGTGATATACGGGGTCAATGTCACAGTGTATGGGGGTATTGGGGGGACATCGTCCCCCGCCACGACCTCCTGCCCGACGTCAGCCTCTCGTGATATACGGGTTTCCTGTCACAGTGTATGGAGATATTGGGGTGACATCACCCCCCGCCACGACCTGCTGCCCTACGTCAGCCTCAAGAGACGGCGCCCCGGTGAGTGTCTGTCGCGATATATCGTGATATATCGTGATATACGGGGTCAATGTCACAGTGTATGGGACTGTTGGGGTGACATCATCACCCGCCACGACCTGCTGCTCTATGTCAGCCTCAAGAGACGGCGCCCCGGTGAGTGTCGTGATATGTCGCGATATATCGTGATATACAGGGTTACTGTCACAGTGTATGGGGCTATTGGGGTGACATTGACACCCGCCACGAACTGCTGCCCTACGTCAGCCTCAAGAGACGGCGTCCCGATGAGTGTCTGTCGCAATATGTCGTGATATACGGGGTTACTGTCACAGTGTATGGAGATATTGGGGTGACATCACCCCCCGCCACGACCTGCTGCCCTACGTCAGCCTCAAGAGACGGCGCCCCGGTGAGAGTCTGTCGCGATATATCGTGATATACGGGGTTACTGTCACAGTGTATGGAGATATTGGGGTGACATCACCCCCCGCCACGACCTGCTGCCCTACGTCAGCCTCAAGAGACGGCGCCCCGGTGAGAGTCTGTCGCGATATATCGTGATATACGGGGTTACTGTCACAGTGTATGGAGATATTGGGGTGACATCATCACCCGCCACGACCTGCTGCCCTACGTCAGCCTCAAGAGACGGCGCCCCGGTGAGTGTCTGTCGCGATATGTCGCGATATGTCGTGATATACGGGGTCAATGTCACAGTGTATGGGGGGATTGGGGGGACATCGTCACCCGCCACGACTTCCTGCCCGACGTCAGCCTCAAGAGACGGCGCCCCGGTGAGTGTCTGTCGCGATATGTCGCGATATGTCGTGATATACGGGGCCAATGTCACAGTGTATGGGGGTATTGGGGGGACATCGTCACCCGCCACGACCTCCTGCCCGACGTCAGCCTCAAGAGACGGCACCCTGGTGAGTGCCTAGTGCGATACGTCGTGATATATCACGATACATGGGGTCACTGTCACAGTGTATGGGGCTATTGGGGTGACATCATCACCCGCCATGACCTGCTGCCCTATGTCAGCCTCAAGAGACAGCACCCAGTCAGTGCCTGGCACGATATATCACGATATACAGGGTCACTGTCGCGATATACGGGGTGGTATTGGAGCATTGGGGGGTTCACACCATCACCCACCATGACCTGCTGCCCTGCATCGGCCTCAAGGGGCAGCACCCGGGTGAGTGTTGCCGTATGTCCCGATATATCGCGATATACGGAGTCGCCGTAGCAACAGATGAGGTCACCATGGTGATATACGGGGTCGCTGCCACAGTGTATGGGGCTGTTGGGGTCGTGACGTTCCCGTGATGTTCCCGTGACGTTCCCGTGACGTTCCCGTTCCCAGTGTGCCCGGACCTGGTGGATAAGTACCTGGAGGAGACGTCCATCCGCTACGTCACCCCCCGCACGCCCGGGGGGGCCCCGCCCGGCCTCGGCCACCCCCACAAATCAGGTAGGGACCCCTTGGGGTCACTGTCACCCCCATTTGGGGTCATTGTCACCCCCATTTGGGATCGTCACCCTTTGGGGTCACCGTCCCCTTTTGGGGTCATTGTCACCCTTTGGGGTCACTGTCACCCCCATTGGGGATCACTGTCACCCTTTGGGGTCACTGTCCCCCTTTGGGGTCATTGTCACCCCCATTTGGGATCATCGTCACCTTTTGGGGGCATCATCCCCTTTTGGGGTCATTGTCACCCCCATTTGGGATCATCATCACCCTTTGGGGTCACCGTCCCCTTTTGGGATCATTGTCACCCTTTGGGATCATCGTCACCCTTTGGGATCATCGTCACCCTTTGGAGTCATTGTCACCCCCATTTGGGATCATCGTCACCCTTTGGAGTCACCGTCCCTTTTGGGGTCACCAGCTCTCCATGGGATCATTGCCACCCCCCATTTGGGATCATCACCCTCTTTTGGGGTCATCCACCTCATTTGGGATTTTCACCCCCCTTGGGATCATCTCTCCTATTTGGGGTCACCACCCCCTTGGGATCATCCCAAAGTTCCCGACCCTGGAGCCTCTCAGCGCTCCGGGTTTGGGGGGCTGTGCCCGGTCCTACTGGATGGATTTGGGGTCCCTGGGGTTGGATTTGGGGTCCCTGACCCATCTATGCCCCCTGTCCCCAGTGCCTGCCCCCCACCCGTCGCTGTGCTGCCCCCCGGGGGGGCCCCAGCTGGGCCCCAAGCGCCCGGGCCGGGCCCGGAGCCTCCTCGGGAGCCAACGGAAACGCAGGAAGTCAGCGACCCCCGACCCCAAGGAGAAACAGACCTGCGGTGAGAGGGGATTTGGGATCGGGATTTGGGATTGGGAATGGGGGATTGGGGATTGGGAACGGGATCCCCAAGGAGAAACAGACCTGCGGTGAGAGGGGATTTGGGATTGGGGATTTGGGATTGGGAATGGGGGATTGGGATCCCCAGGGAGAAACAGACCTGTGGTGAGAGGGGATTTGGGATTGGGATTTGGGATTGGGAATGGGGGATTGGGATCCCCAGGGAGAAACAGACCTGCGGTGAGAGGGGATTTGGGATTGGGAATACAGGATTAGGATTGGGATCCCCAATGCATGAGACATCCCAAGAGTGGGAAAATTTCCCACATTTCCCCCAATCCCTAAACTGCACATTCCCCCATCCCAAACCCCCTAAACCCCACATTCTCCCAGTCCCTAAGCCTCACATTGCCCCAATCCCTAAACCCCACATTCCCCTAAACTCCAACCCCCCTAAACCCCACATTCCCCCAACCCCCCAAACCCCACAATCCC